GTGTATGTGCCTCCCTAAAATCCAGAGAGGAGCATGGAGGAGAAGGGATTGTGACATGGCTATCCACTCTGGGGGGATGATTTCTCCCTTTCTGTCTCTCTGTCTCTCTCTGTCTCTCTGGTGAGCACACATACCCTATTGCAAAAATCTCTCTCTTAAAAAAAAAAAACTAAACTAAATTACTGGGGCTGCCAGGTGGCATGGTGGTTAAGGCAATGGACTCCCACATAGCCAACTGTGGTTTGAGTCCCAGACCTGGCAGCTTGATTTCTCATTCTCCCTATCTCTCTCTCTGTCTCTTTCTGGTCAAATTGAAAACTAATAATAAATAAATAACATTTTAAAAATAATTCTTAAAGTTATGATATTTTTCTATGTTTTTCTATAAAAAGATGCATCATGACTTTTCTGATAACCCAATATTGTCTTAGTATGTTCCATTCATAGGGTTAGATGGAGACAAAGTTATCAAGTTATTATAGAACATAGGGTGGTTTATTGGACATATGGAAATTTGGCCTCAGGGCCAGCAGGTGGCATGGTGATTAAGGTGCTGGACTTCCATATGACCAACTGCAGTTCAAGTCCTGGACCTGGCGGCTTCCTCTCTCTCTTTCTGTCTCTTTCTGGTCAAATTGGATAATAATAATAATAATAATAAATAATTCTTTCCTTAAAAAAAAAGAGAAAGAAAAGAAACTTGGCCTCTGTATTCCAATACAGAATGCTGAGGTCTTTCAAACTAGAAAAGAAATAAAATGTTGTTGGATGGAATGTTTTAAAAATCTATCCATAAAATAGAACTTTCTTTCTTAAAAATAGTTTTTGTCATTTATATCTTTTACTCTGGACAATCAAAAGTGCTGAGCTGCAGTGTGCATGCACCAGTGTGTGTGTGTATGTGAAGTTTTTCCCATAGGCCCTTAAACAGACGTGTTTAAACGTAAGTCATTACTGAGGACTCACATTAGTAGAGGCTGTGGCCAGCTTTTGTTCACTAGCATCCTCTCCTTCTCCACCTAGGGCACAGGGATGGGGGGGAAGGGAGGGCACTTCTTTTTTTTTTTTTAAGAGAGATTTTGCTACAGAGTGCATGTTCTCTCCAGAGAGACAGAACACAAGAAATCACCCCCCTCCCCCAGGGAAGATGGCCACTCCACCATCCCTTCTCCTTCCCTTCTCCTCCCTTCTCTTCTCTGGATTTTGGGTATGCATGTATATGTGCCTCGCTTGAGTTTTAAGTCACCAGGTCTGGGACTCAAACAGCAGTCGACCACATGGGAGTCTAGTGATGAAGCCATTATGCCATCTGCTGGACCCAGGGGGCGACTTCTACACCTGTCCATTTCTTTTAAGAAAGTGGAGGTGAATGGTCCATCCAGAACACTCCCAGAAACTGGCGCTCCTTCATACACCCAAGATACAAGAGCTATTTTCTACTCCAACTTCCTCACTTCTAGAAACGTGTTTCTTGAGCCATGCCATGTTTAATGGGGCTTCGGCTGTGTCTAAGGTCAGCCCGCAGGTGGGAGCTGGGAGGAGGCTGTTTTCTTTGATCCGTCTAATGAATTAATGAATTAAACAGAGGTGGAGTTCAGAAGCCAGGCTCCTTGCTTTTGCTGAAACAGGGCTGATTATGGGCTGGCGTAACTGCTGGAAAAATGCTGCTTCGTGCTTGAAGAATTAGGGACATGGTGGAGTCCATTCATCTTCCCTAATCGAGTTCTTGGGAAATACACATGTAGATTAGTCCCTAACAATGACCCCCGGCTGATTGGTTGGAGTACCCTCCACTGGTGCCCACAATGGAATCGACTGGCCCTTTATGTCCCCGCACAAAGGGAACCTCAACCTCCCTTGTCCTCCTTTGCCCTGTTTCCCCCACAGGCCCTCACCAGTAGCTGCTGAAGTATTACTGCTTTTCTCCTGAGACTCCGAAATAAACAGTAAATAAAAGCTAACCTCACCTGGACCTATTAGGGAGAACTGGGCAGTTCCAGAGGGAATTAACTTTGGAAAACAAGACCTTAACCCCCTTAGCAGCTTGGAGGCAAGAGCTTAAGAAAATGCTGCCAATCTTTGTTGAGCAGCGATTATAGAGATCCATTTAATATTGGGGAGGTTTACATAAAAAGCATTCTCGGTCAGGGGGAAACAACAAATGCCAATTCATGATCCCTCCGCTGCCTTCTGGTCACCAACTGTGCGGCGCCTCCGCCACCTGGTCCATGTAACTGTCATCACAGATCTTGTCCGGGTGCCACCAGGACGTTCCTAGAGGCAGCGTCTTTGACAGGCTAGAAAGCCAGAGGAGGGGCTGGGGGCTGATTCCCTCCGAAAACCTCCAGAGGGTTGGTTAAGTCATCCTGGGCACCGGCGCCGCCCGAAGGCCACTCTCTACAGACTCTGACTTCATTTCTTCTGGGAGCTCGACTGCCCCGCCTCACCCTCCTCGGCACAGGTTCGTTCCATCTCAGGGAAGGATTAAAGACAGACTGTGGGCTAAGATGCACTTTGATAAAAATCAAAACAAAACGAAACAAACAAAAAACCCCGCTCTGCTGTAATAACGACGGTGAACTGCAGCCAGGAAACACGGGCCAAGGAGTCAGCCGGTTGGAGTTCTCCTGACCCCTTTACAACCCTTAGCTGTTTCCCTCCGGCCGCAGTTCCCTCTTTTGTAACATACGTCTTCCCTGTTCATCTCACAGGGTGGTGAGGATCAGATGGCATGCAGAGAATGCAATCATTCTGAAAAGCATAGTGTTCTGTGAAAACTAAAAAGTGCTACTAGGTTTTTATTAAAATTTAACTTTCTTTTAAAATTTTTGCTAGAGAACATGTGAGTGAGCGAGAAAGTGAGGAAGCACCTTCCAGGGGTGATGGCCATTCCCTGCTCCCTCTGCCTTTCTCCCTCCTGTAGAGATTTTGGGCAAGCATGCCCGTCCTCCCAGCATGCTTTTCACGACGCCGGGCCCAGGACTCCCATGTGTGAGCTGCCATGTTGGATCGAGCTGCCTTGACCTCCACACCATTGGCTGGCCCATAATTTAACTTTTCCTTAAAACGAATTTCTAACCAGAACGGGGAGCCTAATTTCTAGCCATTGCAAACGCGCATGCGTGCTTAGTTCACCTTTTAATAGTTTGATTAAAGGCTGAGTAATTAGTGTAACGAGTCTCCCCCCACCCCAGTGACGCAAAACCGACCGTTTAACTACCCTTAACTTGTCTGCTTGTCCTTTGGAAGTGCCCTTCTAAAATAACACCAACTTCAAGGTCGTGTATCGGAGGATGCTTGTCCCCTCTTTCGTAGCATTGTCTCGTCTCCAGGACGGCAGGTTAAACTCCCCGGCCACTGGTCCCGGCTTTTCCTTTTTCTTAAGAGGCCCATGCCATCGCCAGGACGGTGCTGGCCCCTCCGAAGGGACGAGGTAAACGCTTGTCTGGGTGCAAGAGGGAAGGACACAGGAATAAAGAAGCCGCCGGACGAGAGCGCCTACGGACAGGGTTTTAGGGCTGGGGTCCTCTAGGCCCTTGGGCTTTTAGGAAAGCATTTGAATTCACGTTTCCGGCCAACAGTTCAGTGAAGGCGGCCTGGGATCAGGGCTTAGCCCGGGATTTGAGGGGTGCTATTGTCCTCAGCCCTGCGGGATGTGGAAACACGTCTTTCCACTTCACCCCGAGTCTCTCTGGGCCACTGAAGCCTCAAAGGGCCCCCAACGGGAAAGAAACGCAAGCGGATTACGCCTGTAACCCTCCAAGAAGCTCGAGGCCGGCTCCCCAGGCGAAGGTCCCCCAGGCCGCCTTGGGTCATCTCCTCCGTCTGGAGAAGAGCTGGGGGGAGGAGGGTGCGTATCTCTGCACATCCGTAAGGAACCGAGCCCAACGGAGACTCAGCGACAGTGAGGAGCTCCAGGCAGGTCTCCCGCGAGTCCGAGCCGGCAGCGGATCCGACTCCGGTCTCCCAGCCTTGCTGTGGGGCACTTGACGTCCCCGGACCTGCGGGCACCCTCTTGGGGCGGGCGCTGGAGCGAAGAAGCCGGCCGGCGCGCAGTCCGAGCGGACGGCGAGGGGCGATTAGGACAGATACAGGCGCACGGTCAACTCGAAGTCCGGGACTTCGGAGGACGGAGCTGAGAGGAGTGCCAGTGCGGGCAGAGGGGAGCAGAGGCGGGGGCCAGGGGGCTCAGACTGGGAGGAGCGCGGGCTGCCTTCCCACCGCCCCGAGCTGGGAAGCCTTCAGCGGGACCTCGTCTCTCCCACGGGGCGCACGGCCAGGGCGCGCAGCCCTGCGGAGGAGGTGAGCCGGGACCGCAGGCGAGTGTTAAATTGGGGGCAGAGTGGAGCACGAGGCTGAGGGAGGAGGGGAGCTGCAATAAGCGGCCGAGTCCAGGGGGGACGTACGCCAGATGCGGAAAGCGAGCCCACGGGAGGGCGAGGCCCGCCGAAGGACAGAGAGGGGTCCAAGGCCACCTGCCCCGCGGTGGGGGGGACTGGGCGAGAGCGGCCCTGCGGGTCTGGGGCCCCCAGCCACTCGAACATCCCCCTGCCTGTCCCGGAGTGTGTTTGTCGTGTTTGAAACAGATCAAGATATGGGAGATGTTTAGTCCGAAAGCCGACTGGGGGTGCGGAGCTAGAACCCCGACCTTAGTCTGCGAAAGGACCCGCCCCTCTGCGGAGGGAGGGGCTGAGACCAGCGGAGTCCGGGCCCAGAAGGGAGGAGCCGCGGGCAGGGGCGGTGGGCGGGAGAGAACGCTCGCGGCCTTTAGCGCCCAAGCCGGGTCTACCCCGAGGCCCAACCTCCGAATCCTGCTAGGACCGAGGCTGCGGTGAGCCCAGCGCCCGCCTGTCTCCTACGCGCGCAGCCGGGACGGGCGTCGCCAGCCAAGCTTAACGCTGGTTCGGGACCCGTCGGGCTGCAAGGTAGCACTCGAGAATAGTGACTTCGAGCCTCTTTTCTCTGTCTCCAAAGCTTCCTCTTGCCTCCAGACTCTCCCCATGCACCTGCCGGGCTGCGCACCCACGATGGCCGACGGCAGCTTCTCGCTGGCCGGCCACCTGCTCCGCAGCCCGGGCGGAAGCACCTCGCGGTTACACAGCATCGAGGCCATCCTGGGCTTTACCAAGGACGACGGGATCCTCAGCGCCTTCCCGGAGCAGGGCGCTCGGGGCGGGAAGGAGCGCGAGAGGAGGCTGGGCGCCCGGCCCGCCTGCCCCAAGGCGCCTGGGGGAGGCCCCGAGCCTACCCCGCCACCAGCCCCGGCGCCCGCCCAGGAGTATGAAGGTGAGTGACCACTCCGCGCTGCCGCGAGGCCCTTGGGCACCCGAGCTTAGGGGCTCTACCAGACGAGTGTGCCCCTTCCTTGACTTTTATTAAGGAACCTGGGCACGCGGTTGGGGGCTGTGTCTATGGCGGGAGCTTCCAACTTGGGATCAGAGAAAGCTTAGGGACGCCAGGTATCCTTCACCCCTCCCTTCCCAGCGCTGCCCCGCCACGGTGCCGGCCTGCCCCCGCCGGGAGCCTGGGTAACTTCAGAACTTCTCCAGAGTGTCTCTACCTCTTTGGGAGCTCGTCGCCCCAGCCCCTCGCCCCT